GGGCGGGGTGGTGGGCAGAGTTCAGGGGCAGCAGCCCACCCCAGGCCAACGCCTGTGTCCAAGGCCCACGTGTATCTCAGGGCCCGCAACGGGCCTGATGACACGCTCATCTGCACCAGAGGGGCCCGGGCCCTCAGCGTCTCAGACGCTTCCTCAGCACCTGCCACTGGCTGGCCCTGACCTGGGTGCTGGGACAGGCCCATCCCCCACTCTGGCAGAATGAAATAAGCACAGACTTAACTACACAACTTTAGGCGACAAGAAACTAGTTAGAAAAGCGGGGGTCTTGGGGACGTCAAGGGGTTTTTAGGGTTTGGACAGGATCAGCACGGGTGGCTTCGACAAGGTGACACTGTGCACAGACGGGGTATGGTGTAAACAGACGCACAGACCAGTCCACACAGAGCTATCAGATCTGCAAGCTGCGCTGACAGGCAGATACACATGGGGTCAGTCCATCACCCTTTATCCCACATGCATTCACACAGCTACACACATAGCTATTCTCACACACACGTACACACGCATACACTCACACACACACTCACACACAGGCACACACAGAGCAAAGGGGTTTAATGGTGGGGACGGTGAGGTTTGGACTCAAATGGATTCCTCTCTTCACTGCAGTAGTTCCTCAGCTGTGTGACCTTGGTTTGGCTACTTAACCTGTCAAGACGCTTCAGTCAAAGGGGTTTTTGGGGTGTTTGAGTGAGATGATGCTCAAACCCTGCTGTGCCTCCACTGTTGGCTGGCTGGTAAACATTTAACACTCGGTTCTCCACCTTCCCCCCGTTCCCAATGGCCCTGGTTTCTAGCATTCGCCAATTTCTGTGGTGTGAATACTCCCACCATTTCAAGCTACCAAAATGATGTCCATAAACATGGAGGTGGAAGACATGTATCCAGTTAGCGCTCTGGTGCGAGCCAATGCGAGTGGCTCCTGCACACCATAGCATCTCCCTCACCTCATGCACAGTAAAAGCCAAGGTCCTGGCCATGGCCTGGGGGGTCCTCCATGACCCTCCCTTGTCTCCCTCACACCAGCACAAGCTGGCCTCAGGGCCTTTGCACTTGCTGTTGTCTCTGCCTGGCCACACCCTCCCTCACCCCCAGGGCTTTGCTCAGAGGCACCTTCCACAGTCCTCTCTTCCTTTACTTTTCTCCTTAGCACTGGCCAAAGCTAACGTGTTACATCTTCTACTTATTTGTCATCTATGTCTGCCGCAGGAATGTGAACACCGTGAGGACGGGGTCTTGGTCTACTTTGTTCACTGCTGAATTTCTAGGGCATAGGTCAGAGCCTGGAGAGTGCTGGGGGGTCCGTCCTGTCTATTGCAAGAGGGAAGGGAGGGAGGAGGGAAGAGAGGGAGGGAGGGGGCCGATGTCCAGCCAGTGCCCTGCACACAGAGTCCTGTATTAATGGGGTGTGATCATCAGATTGGGAAGCAGAGAGCTGGAGCTGGCCTGCAGGGAGGGGGCTCTGTGTGTCCAATAGGGGCCATGCTCCCTTAGGGGGTGTGGGGCTGCCACACAGCTGCTGCCCTGCCAAGCTGAGCTGCCCCATGGGCAAGCCCAGGAATGTGAACAGACAGACGCAGCTTCCTCGGCCACCCTGCCCTGGGTGGGGCCTCCACACCCACACTCAGTGTGGGAGCTGACGCTGGGCTGGGACACCTGAAAATAGGCCACAGAACCAGGAACCCACCCACAGACCTGTCTGCCCACTACCTGCCTGGGTTTAATGAGCTCGTTCCCCTCCAGCCATTGGGTTCTGGCAAGAGGGGATTGCCAGGGCCACCGGAGGTGTTCTGCCCCTAGATACAAGGTGGGGTGTCTGAGGCTGGCCGCCTGGCGGCTCCACTAGCATCCCATCGCAGCAGCTTGCACCTGACTGGGGGCCAGGACCACAGAGGACGGCCTGACAGGAGGGGTGTTGTCTGAGCCGCACAGGGACACAGGGGGCAAGGGGTGGGTGGGACTAAGAGCAGGCTCGACCCCTCCCCCAGACATTTCTGGGGCGAGAAACTGGGGGGTCCTTTCCTTCATAGCCTGGCCCTTTCTGGCTAGGAACTTCTGCCTCTCCTGTCTCAGTGTTGGCCTGGGCCCCCACAAGGGAGCTGTGTAGTGGGGGGTCCCTGTCAGCTCTGGAGCCCCCAGCTCTGCACCAGCCTATCTGTAGGCATCTTTCTCCCTCCTTGGTGCTCAGCTAACCCTTAACCACATAGGAGCTGGGTGGGGGTGGTCTCCGGCTCCCGCTACTGAAAGGTGGCCGGGCAAATGCTTAGGGGCCCCTTCCTTGTGGTGTGGCCTTAGGGCCCAGCTCTCCATTTGTAAGATATGGGTGGGAGAGGGGAGGGGGATACAAGGAGTGGGAGGGATGAGCATATGGACCCCGGGGCCTGTTGAGGGTGAGACAGTGGTGCCTGAGGGTCTACCTGTGGTCCCAGTGTAGGGGAGACACTCTCTCATTGCCTTTGGCCCCCTTACCCTCTGAGTGACAACACCATGAGGGTCACGGCCGCACCATGAACCTGGCACCCGTGTCCAGAGCAATGACACAGATTGTGGGTGCTTGTCCTGTACCCCCTGGGTGCAAGGGCAAGGAACAGGCTGGGCTGGTGGCGGGCTGCAGGTCTGGATGCTGGCCTGGGTGCTGTGGAACACTCCCGGCCCCGCCCACCAGCCCGCCCCTTCCCGGTGCTGCTCATGACACCCTGACTCAGTCAGCCGGTTTTGCTCTCTGCCAGACTCTCGGTGGATAGCGCCCAGCGGGTAGTGTCTACCTCCCTTGTCTTTGGGTCTGAACATCCCTGGGCTGGCGGAAGCCCTTGAGCTGAGTACGAACATGCACATAGCCACACTAGTGGTTGGCACCACAACCTCGGTCATGACGACCTCGAGTGTCACGCTCATCCCCCCTCCTGCCCCCGGTCACTGTCCCAGAGATGTAGTGGAGGTTCTCGTCCCCACCTCCCCCATGGTGTACCCCTCCCCACTCACGGTCCCCGGGATGTAGTAGAAGATCTTGTCAGCCGCTGTGTCCCAGTCCGGGCCAACTTCGCTGCCAAACAGGCCAGCCAGCCTCCTTGCGCCATCCTCTCTGGGGACCAGGAAGGAGGGCTCACAGCCTGGCGGCGGGGAGAGGGGAACCGGGACCCAGTATCAGTGGCCAGGCTGCCCCCTTCCACCCCGCCACTCACCTGGTGCCCTTCAGCGAGCGCTTCCTTGAAAAGGAGGCACGGAGCCTTCGCGGGGCCTGGGGGACGCACTGGCTGTTCCCCATGGGCTGGCCGGTGAGTAGTGCTGGGTCCTCGGTCTGAGCAGCCTCCACCTCCCGCTGCGGGTGGGGCCGGGACCGGGATGTCCTGCCCAGAAGCCGGCGAGGGCGGAGCCGAAACTTTCTGGGAGGGCTGAGTCTACCTGAGCCCTTCAGGTCTCTGTCAACACACCAGCAGCCAGCCCGAGGCGCCCCGCGGCTTGGACCAGAGACCCCTCTCAGCTTCCAGTGCACCAAAGGGACCCCAACGGCCTGAACTCAGAGTGCGGGCATTGGGGGTGCTGTGAGCCTGGTGACCCCCAGAGAGCCCCATGACCCCCAGTGACCCCTAAAGAGCCCAATGACCCCCAGTGACCCCTGGAGAGCCTGATAACCCCCATGAGCCCAGTGACCCCCAATAATCCCTGGAGAGCTCAATGACCCCCAGTGATTCCTGGAGAGCCCTGTGACCGCCCCCCCCCCCAGGTGAGCCCTGTGACCCTCCCAGGTGAGCCCTGTGACCTCTCCAGGTGAACCCTGTGACCTCCCCAGGTGAACCCTGTGACCTCCCCCAGGTGAGCCTGGTGACCCCCCCCAGGTGAGCCTGGTGACCCCCCCAGGCGAGCCCTGTGCCCCCCTCCAGGTGAGTCCTGTAACTGCCCCACAGATCCCGGTGACCTCTGTGTAAGCTCAGTGACCCCTGGTGGGCAAGGTCCTCTCCCAGCCCCCTTCCTGAGCGCACATCCTGTTTCCACCTAAATCCCCAGCCTCTGAGTCACCGGTGACTGTAGGGAGCGTGTGTATCCTCAGCTGCCGGAACAGGAGTAAGCTCCATGAGGAGGGGATGGAGAGCTGGAACTCTCCCCCAGTTGCTTCTCCTGCCCAGGCTCTACCTCCCCACCCTCTGCCAAAGCTAGGTCCCCCCAGGCTGGCTAATGCAGAATCCAGGAAGGTTGCACCCCACCCCCACGTGCCAGGGACCGTAGGAGGAAGTGTCTCTGATGCTGCTGCTGACATCTCTCTGCCATTGCCGTCTGAGGTCTCCTCTGTGAACATCCCCCCGAGGATACGCCCCAGTGGACCCCCACTGAGGGACTCCCCCCACGTGCCTGGGACCCTAGGACGAGGTGTTGGATGCTGCCGCTGTCAGAGAGCTCCTCCATGGACACCCCCAATGGACCGCCCCCCCCCCCGGCTGAGAATACCTCCCAGTGGACCAGTGGATCCCCAAGGATACCCTCCAATGGACCCTCCCCATGCACCCTGGAGGGATAGGATGGCAGGCAGCCCCCACTAGACCCATCCTCCAGCCACACGGCCCTCCATGGACAGACACTCAGCCACAGGCCGAGGAGTCCAAGAGACATGTTTATTATTCAAGTTGGTACGTATTGCTACTTTAGGTCTGTGCACACCGACTGCGGAGGCGTGCACATGGCCCCGCCCAGTGCGGGCCGAGAAGACAGACATGGACATGGGAAGGAGGAGCTCAGCGAAGAGATGGGCGTCTGCACCTGCTTAGAAGAGTCGGCCTCCACAGCCCCTGGCTTCCACAGCCCAGCTCTTAGTCTGTGCCTCTAGATCTGAGACCCTGGGGCAGTGTGGGTCTTCTCCCCATCATTGCTGTCCCCAAGGCCAAGAGTGGGTGGGAGGACCCCCAGCTTGGTCCCAGAGACGTGGGGTCCCAAATGCTTTGAGAGTAAATGGACAAACTGGTAGCTGCGGCAGTGCTTGCCGGGCAATAAATAAGTGAATAAATAAATGATTGAGTAAATAAATAAACAAACAGGGACACACACAGACAGACACCAACACGAGAAACATGGATAGAGGTGCCCAGCGTCCCTGGTGGGGTGGCCGGGGACCCTGCCCCAACTCGTGAGGGCAAGGAAGGGAGGAGCTGGGGCTGCCCGGGGGGCTTAAGGCATCTGGGCGCCGGCATGTGGCGCTGCGGGTCAGAGGCTGGTGGAGGACACTGACAGCGTGGGCGAGGAGGGTGGCGGGAAGTTGAGCAGCTCAAGCACAGCCACACCCACACTGCTGCGCCGCGTGAACATGCAGGACGCGGCCACCCACTTGTTGGTCCGGGGGTTGTACTTCTCAATGGAGTTGAGGCTAGAGCTGCCATCATTGCCCCCCACAGCATACAGCCAGCCGTCCATGGCCACCAGGTCATGTGTGCTCCTGGGGAGTCATGGGGGGGTGGGTGGGTGTCCGGCCAGGGATAGGTTCATGGGGGCCTCTGCCTGTCTCTGGGAGGGCAGAACTGCTGTGTTGGGTGAGACATCCCCCATGGACACCCCTCTCTGGGGACCCCCACAGACATCACCCTGGGACACTTCTCACCAGGACACCATCCCATGGACACCTTACAGGGCACTCCCCCCCGGAGACTGTGAGCCTGTGCCCACAGACCTGCGGATGTTCATGGGCGCCACACTCTCCCAGGCGCTGGCCTTAGGGCTGAACCGCTCCACTGAGTTGAGGCAGCTCGTGCCATCGTTGCCACCGGCCACGTAGAGCGCACCCTCCAGCACAGCCACGCCTGCCGAGCTGCGCCGGCTCAGCATGGAGGCCACAGGTGTCCACGCGTTCACCTGTGGGTGGCGGGCGTTGGGCTGAGGGCTTTCCACCTCCTGCAGTACAGAGCTCCAGGGTGGGGGCAGCAACGGTGGGGGTCAGCGGTTGGGGGGGAACAGCATTTGGGGGTGGTAGTTCAGGGGGACAGTGGTTGGGGGTAGGGGGTCGGGGGAACAGCAGTCCAGGGAACAGCAGTCGGGGGCAGGCCATCAGGAGTGGGTGGTAGTCAGGGGAGATGGTGACAGCAGTTGGAAGGTAGTGGTCAGGGAGAGGTGGTTTGTGGTAGGGCACACACACCTGGGGTTCGTATTTCTCCACAGTGGCCAGGTGTGATGAGCTGTCGTAGCCGCCCACAGCGTATAGGCTCCCATCTGTGAGTGGAGGTGCCCCTGAGCACCTATTGCATGCTAGGGCACCCAGGGGAAGCGGGGGTGGGGAGGGGTGGGTCGTGTGCCAGTGGCAAGTCACCCACCAAGTGTGGCCACGCGCACATAGCGTCTCCGGGTGCTCATGGCGGCGATCGATGTCCATGCTCCCGTCAGGGGGTCATAACGCTCAGCACTGCAGACCAAGGATGTTGCTGACCCCAAGCGTAGGTAGAGAAGGCCACCCAGGCCTGAGACTAACCTTCTTGGTCCCATGAACCGAACGAATCCTGGTGAAACCCTGACCCCAGAACCCCACTGGCGTGGGCTGCCCGTTGACCCCGGGGAGGGCATGTCTGGGCCAGAGGGACAGAAGGGGCACTAGGGGCCTCTTAGCTCTTGGCCAGCTGTGACCCTGTGGTCCTGGGCAGCCCCCGTCTGCTCCACGCACCTGTTGAGGCAGGAGGCCCCGTCGTAGCCACCGGTTGCGTAGAGCAACCCATGGAGGGGGGCCACACCCAGGCAGCTGCGTCTCGTCCCCATGGACACCTCAGGCTGCCACGTGTTGGTGACGGGGTCATACGATTCCACGGTGGCCAGGTCCGAGGTCCCGTCGTAGCTGAGGAGGGCCCCGCGGCAGTCAGAGCTGGCCCGGAGGGCGCGTGCCAAGCCCGACCCACTATCACGCCGTGCTTACCCGCCCACAGCATATAGCCGGTTGCTGATGGCTGCCACACCCACCCGGGCCCGGCGTGTGGACATGGAAGCTACCACATGCCAGCGGTCAGTGCGTGTGTCATAGGCCTCGCAGTCCCCATGGATGGCGAACAGGCTCCCACCACCTGAGGGCAGAAGGGATGCCCGGTAGGCACAACAGGGCCAGGGGCCTGATGCGGGGTCTGGTGGGGTGGGCCACGCAGCACAGGGTCCTTGAGAGGCTCCAGGGTGGAAATGGGGCAGGTGCGGGTGGAGACATGACAAGGGTGCGGAAGGTGCGGGAATGTGGCAGGTGTGGGGACACAAAGGGTGCAGAAAGGGAACATGGTGGACGAGAGGTAGTGACATGACAGGTGCAGACAGAGCGGTGGCGGTATGGAGATGGACCACAGCAGGGATGTGGTGGCCACAGGGATGCGGCCGGCGTGGGGGCATGTGGCAGTGACATAGTAGACATGGAGAGGACGTTGTGGGCAGAGGAAACACTGTGAGCATAAGGATGCGGTGAGGATGTCAAACGAGGTAACAAACGTGGATGTGGACATGATGGGTGCATGCAGAAGGGTGATATATATGGCGTGGGGACACAAAAGAGGCGTAGTGGGGACGTGGTAGGGATGTGGCAGGAACACAGCAAGCACAAGTGGGGACATGGTGGGGATGTGGTGGGTGTAGGCAGGGATGTGGTAAATGTGGGGTGGAGGTGAGGTAGAGACATCGGGAGGACGTTGTGGGCATGTATGGGGAGATGACAGGTGGAGGTGGGGACATGGTGGTCACAGGATACTTTGCAGGTGTGCCTATGTAGTCGGGATGCAGCGGGGATGTGGTGGGCACGGGCGTACCCACAGCGAAGAGCACCGGGCCAGCGCCCTCACAGCGGCGCGGCCGTGTGCGGCTGGTTCCCAGGACACCCCTCTGCTCGGGCAGCAAGTGGAACTTGAGGGCCTCAATGAGCAGGTCTTTGCAGTCGGGGTGATGCCGCACCAGGCCCTCAGCATCCACATGGCCCAGCAGGAAGTCACGGCTCAGCAAAGGCAGCCGCACGCACTTCATCAGCTGGGGTGGGGGGGCACCAGGTCAGGCGGGACCCGGGACCCACGGCCCAGTGCTGGGGTCCTTCTGAGAGCTCCCACACCCCTCCTCAGCCACTGCACCACCTAGGCACGTGGAGGCTGGCATCAGGGCCCGCCGACCACGGGACCACCCCCATCCATGGGGTGCTGGGCACACCCGGCCCTCATGCACCTGTGTCCCCTCCTGGCTGGCAGATGCCTAGGGCCAGTCTCACCCGCGGGACGTGCTGCCTCCGTGCGTCCACGTCGTGCTTGACCCAGCTCAGGACGGCGCGGTAGACATCCTCCTCGGAGGGTACGTTCAGGCTGTCACTGGAGACCAACTCCAGCACCTGGGGGTGGGGCCTCAGGCTAGGCCGGGTGGGGAGAAGGGCCAGGGAGCCCTGAGGGTGCCCAGGAGGGAGAGTTTGCCCAGCCAGGGGCCCAGTATTCCTGGGGGAGGGGTCAAGCAGGGTCTGGAGCCTCAGATCTGGTTCCTGGGGCCCGAGGACTGGGGATCCAGGCAAAGATGGGGGATAGGACAAGGCTGGGAGTCAAAGGTAAGGGTTTGGGGCCAGGGTAGGGTCCGAGGCTGGAGATTGGGGCTGGCCAGTGGCGTTACCTGCTTCAGTGGCAGCAGCATGAACTCCTCGGTCTTGGCCACGTCCACGAAGTGCTGCAGCACGTACCTGTGGGCAGCCTTGAGTAAGTCACTGCAGGAGTGTGTGTCGGCGAAGCCTCGGATGCCCAGGCAGTTGGACGGGTCAAGTTGACTCAGCAGGAACTTGCAGCACGCGTCTCGGACGCCGTTCAGCTGCAGGAGGCTGGCGGCTGGGAGCAGAGTCTGCGGGCATGGGTACAGAGACAAGGTAGGAGAAAGGACCAGGAGGCCAGGGTCACCGAACAGGGGATGGAATGGGAAGAGAAGCTGGGGCCACAGGACAGGGAATGGGATGGGAGGAGGACTGGGGCCACAGGAGAGGGGACAGAGTGAGGGGAACAGGGCCACAGAATAGGGATAAGGGGAGTCAGAGGGGATGTGGGGAAAGGCACAGGGGGCAGAGGGGGCGCAAGGGGGACATGGGGACCAGGACAAGATATCTCGACAACACAAAGGGCTAGTGACATCACCTGCACATTGCCCTCGCCCACCACGATTTCAGCTGTGTACGCAAACTGCACCAGCTGGTCCAGGGCCTGTGGGTCAATGTCGTGTAGTGTCACATGCGTCTGGCGGCTCTCACTCATCTCATCTATGGGGACAGGGGGTCAGGCTCGTCTTCTCCCTGGGAGACCTGTGGATGCGCCCTAGCCCCCAACCAGCGGGCTGTGCACTTACTCGTGAACATGGCATGGAAGTAGGGGCTGCAGGAGGCCAGCACAACCTTGTGTGCTCGGATCTCCTTGGTGGCCACGTGGAGGACGATGTCACACAGGAGGCCACGCTGCCTCATGCGGCTCATGGCCACAAATGCGTCGTGATAATGCCGCTTGGAGTTGTGGGCCACGCTGTGGCCCTCCCGGCTCAGCAGCTGCATTGCCCCCTCCATGGGGGCTGCAGGCCAGGGCTGCCGGGGACGTGCTCGCTCGGCCTCAGGGCTGTGGGGGGTGGCCAGTCAGGGAGCTGCCCACGGCCTCCCACGTCTGCGCAGGGCCTCCAGTGGCCCAAGCCTCAATCAGCCCCTTACCACCCTGCTCCCTCCCCCAACTTCTACCACCTCCCAGCCCTGGCCCCTGCTTGCTCAGCTCTGTCCCTCGGAGTCCCTCTGGAGCCCAGGCAGGACCCTGCCTCACTCTTGCTTCTGGTACTGCAGCCTAGCCAAATTCCCTCATGGACCTTGCACTCTGACTGCTGAGCTGCCCAGCCTCCTCTGCCCAGGTCCCATATGGGCACCAGGCCCCTCGGCCCAGGCCCCCCCACAAGAACCAAGCCCCCTCGATTCTCCTTGGAACCCTTTGTCTATTGTTGGCCACCCTTTCCATCCCCACCAGCCCATGATCCTCTCTGGATAGAAGTCTGTTCTCTTCAGCACCTGCCAGGCGCACAGGAGATGGATGCGGGGTAAAAGTACTCAGTGCTAACTCAGCTACGCCCTGAACTGGACCCCTCCACCCACACTGCACACCCATTCTGTGCACGGGTTGCCTCAGTCTCCGTGCACCCTGCCGCCGGGGTTCAAGGGCAGCCGGGAGGGGACAAGCCTCTGGAGATGGCCACACTGGACGCCTGCCCGAACCCGCTTGGTGCACGAATGAATGGAAGGGTGGGGGCTCAGGTGCTCTGACGCCTGGGGTAAGGACCCGGTGGGGCCGCGAGGTCAGTGGTGGGTGGAGGAAGGAGGAGCAGTGGGAGATACGGAATCTCCACAGAACCGACTCTGCGGGCGCCGGGCCTCTAGAGTCAGGTCGGCTCCCCGGCCCGCGCCCCTCCCTCCCTCCCTCCCAGCCGGGCCTTGAGGAGAGCTCCTGAGCCCCCTAACGACCACCCTGGCCTTCCCCTACCCCCCCGCCCTCGAGACTTCCTCTGGCCACACCGGTGCCCCGGGCCCTCGGTGCCCCCGTATGGCCATCTCGGTGACCCCGGCCCATCACGGCCACCTCCCGGGCTCCCA